GGCAGCTTTGTACAGTGTACAGTTCGAAAAACTAGATTATTCTTTCCGAGTACGCCTTGGCGATTTTGTGGGCCTCCATGCATTGCTGGCCCTGAAGTGTTTGTTGATCGTCAGATCCGACGTATCAGAAATCAGAGAAATCAGCTACGAGGCGCTTGGCAGCAGCAGCTCCTGATTCTTGTGCTTGCACTTCCCATGCATGGCTCATCGTAGTAGTAATACAAATCTCAATCGTACTAGTAATAGTAATAGTGACAATCAGTAAATGTAGTTGCAGCCATTCTTTTGGCAAGAGAAGGTCCGAGCTCCTGCAGTCGTCATCCCCTCACGATCATTATCTCAAAGGCGAACACGCCCTACGTGGACGTGACCAGGGAGATCCTCCTGGAGCATGAGCGCCAGGTGTCGTGCAACGGCCCGCCGCTCAATTCCCTGTGATCTAGCTGGGAGTCGCCTTTCCCGCCTCGGGGTTCCTTAAAATTCTCGGGAGGGTGCAGATAGGACATGTTTATGAGTGGGACTACAGAAGGATTATGTGGGACCGCGATGAAGGATTCCATCGGTTTTTTGTTGTTGAGATGTTCCCACATTAGAGACTCATTCAGTGAGGGTCCTCCCCTTCAAGATGGTTTGGGATTCCAGGTTTGCCCCGACTGATTTTCAGGAACTTACACATGTATTCATGCACAGGGTCTTGATGCATATTGTGTTCGGATTTTCGTTACGACTCTGTTGGTGTGTTTCAAGATTTGGCTGGAGCTTGTGCATAAATCTCAAGGCGCACAGGCCCATGGGGTTGTAGACAGGCCGTCAAGAATGCTATGAACACGCAATTTCTGTATTTAGGCCCAGCTAATCCTCAGCTTGCCCCAATCCAGATTTACTACACCTAATCAAGGAATTCTCCTCACCTCGGACAAACGACTAAGGATTGCCCTACCCAAGACCCCAACCCTAAACCCATTGTGCGGAAGACTGGTCTCTCCGGGCACCAGCCCCATCTCATGAAATTGACTCCCCTGCCGAGGCGGCGACGTCAACCTGTTTGCAAATCATTACATGAAGGAGCCTAAAACCCTTCGCAGTCGGATCAGGTTAATCATGATAGTGAGACCAATAGAAATAGTGATAGCAATAGCAACTAGCAATAGGACTATTCATCGTAACAGCCTTCATGTCGAATGTCTCAAGCCTTGTAATTTGGGTCTGCATGTTAGTAGTTCAAAGTTCAGAAGGAAGGGACGTGGGCCCAGAAGGATCCTAACTCATACTGGGCGCAGTTTTAAGAACCATCCAGTGAGGCATGTGAATTCTGAGTTCGGTGATCCCCCCAACCCACCAATACTGAGCCTGAGGGATGCCGGGAATCATACCAGGGCCTCTACATCCTCCCGTTTACGACCATTATATAGAGGTGGGTTGACCACCTAGATTCTGATAGCAGGCCACGCTAGCAGCCGAGCATCATATAGTTTCACAGGTGACTCGCGGCAAGAAGGGAAGCATGGTGCTAGGATCCCTTGGGCAGACTAAAGCGCAGGGCTTTTGTTTAGCTGAATTTAAAGAGACTCGGGGAGCTTCAGGTTTTCCGTTTGTATAGCCTATGCCCATAACGGGTCTCTTACGTCAAGCACAGAGAGCACCTCCCCGGCAAGACGACGAACTCGTCATCGGAAAACAACTTGTATCCCTGCCTAGTTTTGACCGTTGCCCCAGTCCCAGGCGACAATTGCATTTATCCATCCTTCTATAACCGCTCCGCATCAAGCTACCCGCGCACCTCCAAGAAGCCGCACTTATGTCTTTGCGAAATGAACAGAGCACCTCCGTGCGCGTGAAGATGTGGACGCAAGTCTCGCTGCCGTGGCAGAAAGGGTCCCCACACGAATGATGATGGGTTTTCAACATTCAGCAACAAGACCTGTGTCTTTCTTACTTACAAGTTCTCGTTGATGAGTCGCCGAGGTCATGTAATAGAGTTGTTGCATGCCCGGACATGCCGAGACTGCAGGCTTGCAGTGCGAAGTTGTCAGACGGATTGGTAATGGCTACAAGAGGAAGTGCCAGTATGATCTTGATAAGCATCATGATTTTGAACTCCTAGCCCCTAAGCCCTCGCTCCTGACGACCATGTTCGTGTGCATTTGTTCCTTAGAACCAAATGTGAGGTTACAGCATGAAAGCCGTGAACCCAACACTCAAGCCTCGGAATGCTGAGCTTTTTCTCCACCTTGGCTATGGGTTTAGGGTTTACAGACATGTATTTCTTGGAGGGCCTGGTCAGGATGAATGCTACATGTGCAGGCCGAACTTACTAGCAGAGCAATCCATTTTATGTGATTGGCCTGTAGTAAGCAATCGCCAATGCTCTGCTACAAAGCATTCAGATCCTTACTACATCTTACTACCAACTACGGCTTCGAAGCTGTCTGAATTCCAACAGGAGGCACTGAGCCTTGAGACCATGGGCATCTCCGACCCTTACGCGGCCACAAACAAGGCTGCTTGTCGTGTTTCTCCAAGGAACTCAGGGCCTGACAGAGCTTTTACGTGTTTCGTTTGAAGCCCTTCACGGCTCTATGAGCGCGCGTTCGCCTGCCTTTCGTGTTACTTGACGGCTTTCTTCGTACTGGGTGGTTGGCATGATATCATCACAATCGCGCAATCGCTGTCTATGCTAACATGTTTGAAAGCGTTGGGGACCGTGGCTGTGATGCATTGAGGGACGGGGATTCTCCAGCTTGGGGGTTCAGGTGCCAAGTCAGGTTGTGGAGATCAAACCCTCACTGTTGTCCCCATCTTGAGTTTCTGATCGGAGGTGTTCAGACGCATGTCAGTGTTCTTCAGATGCACATGCTTGACCTGGTCGACAGCAGGATTTGGACAAAGACTTATATGCTCGACTAAGTCAGCAGACGTCCAGCAGCAATAATGAGCGGGTGGTGTTGAACTCAATCCAGACAGGTGGGTCCTGTAGTATGTTCTGTTTGGGTTCAAATTGCGCTTTTTGGGTCCCTGCGCAGAGCCACTTGAGGCCCCGTTTTGCAACCCGATTTTTCGCCACAATCGCACTCTGTCAGAGATCAGCGATATTTCTGTATAATTATGAAGATAACTGCTGAAGAGGACAGGCACGCATCAATTGGGGGTGCGATTCAGTCTTTGACTGAAAGTTGAGCATTGAATCTAGCGCTGGTTTGTTGAATATGAAATTGCCAGCCGCATTCTGTTTGCTGCGGCTCCCACTTTATCAGAAACTGCACATTGTTTGCTTCCAGTGACCAGCTGCTACAAGCCGCTCAGTACGTCTATGTAGCAAGCTTGTAACAAGGTTGTGCTATGATGAAGTCGGACGGGTTAGAGATGGTATGCAGAAAAGAGACAGTGTCCCGCCAAATCTCTTATCGAGGTCAAAGTACAGTGCCATTCGAATGAAAAGTCGACAGCAGGTCCTCTTCATCCGTTACATCCGAGCTGGTGACGGTCAACGGTGTACTCAGGCTCACGTCGTTGCAGCCGAGTAGCAGACCTCCGCAGAGACGGAGATTCTATTTTTTTTTTTTTTTTTTCCGGTTTCCCGTTCAATACGTAACCCGGAAACTAACAGTTCTTGTAGTAGCGCTTGTACGAGTAAAAATATTACATCCAAGTGTAGTTTACAACCGAAAAGATTGCCGCTCGATTGGAGTTGTTTTTCGGTGAGGAGGGGTTTGTGGCTCCGTCTCAACCATGAGAAAAATCTCCTGAGCACAAAGTTTTCTTTTCTTCGACTTGACAGATTCTTGGACGTACGGGTGCTTCAAGTGGAGTGGATCCGCATCATGATCCCTATGGAATCCCCAGTAATAGTCCCTAGAATTAAGCCTAGAGAATCTCGACAGCAATTTTCATTCCGCCAACTAGGGCCTCGTCTGCAGAACCGTCCATGCTGTCCTGCAGTTTCGCTGGAAATCGCCACAGTCTCTTCTTTTGTGTAGGAAGTGTTCACAACAGCCACGCAAAGATGCACCTACTGGCCATTTTCCCAACCAATTTTGACCAGCAAATGTCCCCGACTCCCGCTAGAACTTGCCGCATGATGCCCTGGAATCGAAAAGGCCATGGACACTAGTCTTTTGGGTTTACGGCGGATAGCAGGGTAGTACGGAATATTGGTGAAACGAGCCTGTAGTCCATTGCTGCGTTCTGCTAAGCTCCAGTAAGAAGGGAGGTAGGACACCTCACAAACCCTGACCTTGCAATTGCGGACAAACAAAACAAGCGCAAATTGCTCTCATGAGCCAGAAGCGCTGAGAAAAACGCTGGCAAGTCCTCATGCTAGCAAGTCCTCAAGACTTTCCGAGAACACCTCCAGCAACCTGGCCCAAAGCTTTACCAACGTCTTAGAACTTGTCGAGCTGAGATTTTCTTGGAGCTTCTCTCGCAACTATGGTAGAGATCTGCCACATTTCACAGGCAAGCTCTCGCAGCTAACCTTGCTTTTCTTCATCTCCAATTCTTCCACCGCTTGTTGGCAGGCCATTCCGGTGGACCCTGATGGCAATGTGGCGCCCGGTTCGGAGGTGGATTGCTGGGTCGGGGGCAGGGATCTTCGATATACCTTCAGCTTCTACTTTGTTTGCATTAGATGCTAGTGGTGTTCTCAGCGCAAATGTAAAGCAAGCTTTGGAACAAAATGCAGCTTGGTGGGAATCTGCTAAATCAGCTTTGGTGGGCTTTCTAGCCTGAGCGTCGGGGCTTCAATACGCCTTCGGCGGAATGTCAGCTCGTTCAGGATCCTGTGTTGGATGCCTAGGAATTTGTTGGTGTTGAGGTTTCCCTTGTGCTTTCTGAGTACTCGGAGGGTCCTTGAGCCCTAGTTCTGGCACTTCAATGCAACAGGTCAGGGTCTTCGTTCTCTCATTCGACTTCGATATGAATAGTCTTTGTCCACAAGAATGTCCCAGTGACGTTAGGCTGTAAGCAGACCGTGTAAGAGCAAGCGCACTTGTGGACATGGGAATCCAGAAAGAATATCATGGGATTGTAGCGGCTTGCTCTCATGATTCTGTCATACCAGCCAACTTCTACAGATCAGAGGGCTTGCTGCCGGGTCATGAGTCATAAGGGAGAGCTACAGAAGCAAGATGCTCTACAAGAAGTCGGCCGGCCCTTATCGCTTTCACATGTTGGCCCCTGTCTGCATATGTGCAAGATGCATTGAGTAAGCTGTTCTTTGTATTTTGGAATCTGGCAGGGTTCTAGCCCCATGGGGCCAGTCACCATCACTGAAGCATACTGGGGTACAGGATGCCGGTCATGGTTCATGGGCGAGGCTTAATTCGGACAAGGTTTGGAATGCACGGTTTTAGTGTGCACCTCCCTGTTAGGAAGGATTCAGTTCTGCTTCCCCGTCCTGAACCCCACAAGCCATGTGCCGCAAGCGAACACCGTAGCTTCACGTGCGTAGTATGGTGAACAGGAATGCTACAGTTCCCCATCTAGTGTATGACAATTAAAGAACATAGTCTTGCTTCGTTGCCTTGCACAACTATTCAGGTGAAGTTGGACCTCCTCTCAACAGAGGATGCTGGTGGCGAGGACAGTGCCCCTGCGCATTCACTTGAGTGCGGGATAGCGAGCAGCAGCAATACCAGTTATGTATGACAATCATTGCGGTGAGGCCAACAACGCTAGTGTACCAATTATGATGGTGGTCTTTGTGGCTGCGGCGATGCTAGGGGTGGTGAAGCAGGAATCGGATTTGCGGTAGGGCTGGCAATCAGCAGATAAGACTAGAGCTCAAAATAGAAACCGAAAATCATGCTTGCCGTACCTGTTGGCTTTGGACATTTGATTTAATGATTAGGGGGTTTGGTTTGAAGTTTCAATGATTCAGGATGCTGGGACCGGACCCTCCCCCAAACCACCGGAACGTCAGGAAACCCTCTCAAACGGACAATGGGCACTATAGGCCTTTTCTGAGGTTCCACGGGAGTTGACGGGAAGTTACCCAAACCCAAAACGACCACACCCTATATGCGCCATAGTTAAGCCCAAGACACCCGAACAGAATTCCTCTTCCCAGACCCCCAAAGAAATCTAAAAATTCGGTCCACTAGAACCATATGGGAAAATCATATCAGGGCTATGTAGCTGTTATTATGGGCCTAAATAGGGGATCTAATTTTTTAGATCCTTCCAGAATTCTGGGTTATTTGGGTAGGCAACTGTCCAACCTGCCCAGACAGCTGGAAGGATTTTCATATGAGCTATAGTGGGGGGTCATATATCGCGGAATGGTATAGGGGTTATTCAGGGGGTACTATTTTTTAGACGAAGGTTTTTTCATATTCCGTGGCAGAGCAGACTCCACAGGATTTCTAGATGTGGATAGGTGTATATGTGTGAATAGCGGGACATAGAGAGGTATATATTCCTATGGAAGGACATCGAGAGAGATACGGAGATGACGAAGGGATTCCGTTCCTCCATGCTTAGCATAGTTAGCACATTTGTATCTATTACTGGTTTTGCTACTTACCCAAAACTCTCCACACAGAACCCCAAACCCAGACAGCTTGAAGACGGCTGCCGAGGCTCCTAATCCTGATCGTCCCCTTAAATCAACCTTACATCTGTAGCATAATATATCTCATGGCCTTATTTGAGCTGTAGTCTAAACTCCTTAGGGGGGGGCTTATATCTGGGATAATATAGGGGAGTGTCATTGGGCTTATGAAGGAGGATATTAGGAGTTTAGACCCCACACCCAAAACCCAAGACCCTGGACCCTAAACCCTATACTAGGGTTTACTAGGGGGGATACCAGGAGTTTTGACTCATTTTGGTTCCTAAATGTTTTTAGGCCTCAGATTTTTCAGCTCGAATGCGGCCTGTAGGCGAAGTCATCGTGGGCCATGAGCCGCGTGACGAAGCAAGAGTTCATTGTTGGCGGCTCAAAAGGAAATCATGATGTACTATAATGGGTTAGTCCTATAATGCGTTAGTCAAATGGAAACGGTTATAATGGAATTATATGGGGTTTAGGGTTTAGAAGGAATGGAAAAGAAGATGGCAACTATTACAATGGCTTATAAGTCAGCATGGTAAAGGGCTAGGGTTCATGTACTTCTTCTTACTGTCTTTGTGTGGTCGTTGGCGACGGCAGTGTCGTCATGATTCCTATTGCTATTTTGCTGCTACCACCACTACCAGCACCGGTACCCATAGATGGTTGGGACCCCAAAAGATAAGCTCTTGTCATGAGGAGCTTCCCAAAAAGGTATCCCTAACTTAGGGAACCCCCTAGACCCTAAACCCTGAAGAACCCGATATTACCCCTAATATATCCCCTATATCCCCCTTTAAAGGCATCCCCATACATATATATATATATACATACATATGTTCGTAGCTTTGAGGCCTGCTTCACCTCCAGTCCGCTCCTCAGCGAGTCCATCCGACGCCTGGGCACCACGGCACACGTCCTCCACGAGACGCGGCCCATCCCTCTGGAGGCCGAACTGTTGGGGGGGTAGGGTTTGCTAGATGGTAGCTTCCATTGTGTTTTTCATTCTCCCTATCATTATCCCCATATAATATATTGCTTAACAGCAACCCTGGGGTCTTGAGGTTTCTGTTCTAGGGCCCGAGGGCTTATGGTCCATCAGTATGCAGTTAGGGCCAAAGCCAAACTTCTACGAAGGCTCCTCAGCAGGCAAAGCTTCCTAGCAATTCCTGTGGGAGGGCCACTGTCAGTCTGTGCTTTACAAAGGAAGCTGTATGGTGTGCCATGTCGCGGTGTCCGGCCAGGTCACGATCATGGATCCACACCATGACGATGTTTTCCAGGAGTTGGAGGACCGGGCTTGTTTGGTGTTCGACAAGACATGAGGGAGTGGAGCCCTGCACTCCAGACTGTACTGTGCTCAAGATTTTGTGTCTTTGGCGTTTCTTGGGGAAGTTCTTCCTTCATGACTCTGTATGCCTGCGAATATCGTAATATATGAACTTGTCAAGACACTTGACAGACTATATGAGGCTGTGTTCAAGAATGACCACCTTTCCTGCCCTCAGAACCTTGTTGAGACCCCTTGACCCTCCATGAAAAGGCCTTGTGGACACTGCTTCCTCCAGAGAACCTGGCTCCTCAAGCTTGCGCAGTCCGGGCGTCAGGAGTCCGTGAACATCGGGCAGTCGCTGTTGATTGAGGTCCGGTGCGCACGCAACGTCATGCTGCCAATCTGGCCATCCAACGCACATGAAGCTTTTTGCACGCCCGTCTGTGCAGACATGTAGGATGCATCCCTTTCCCGCAGACTGCCGCAAGCCGTTTTCTGCTTGTGGATGGGCGTTTTCCGCTTGAAGTGGCCTTGTCTCCCTCATCCAAGGGAAGCCAAGAGGTCCTGAGAACACTCTCTGCCACATATCCCAAGGATCTGGAAAGCGCTCCAAAGCAGCCCCCTTATTCCACCTAGTGCTTGCTACAATCCTAAGTTCTCAGAGTTGCATTCATACACCTTGGGTATCTCCCCCACCCAGCAACAGTTAAATGAGCATTTCGCTATGGGTATGCAGCCTTCAATATAAACCCAAGTACCGACTCTTGCAGGTAGGGCACAGTATCCACCATACACTCACCTACGTGTGCCTGCGTCGTGGTTTTGCTTGAAGTGCTTAGGCTGCCTCCGCAGTAGCACTAGAGAAATTACTTCATGGCTGCTCCCTGAGCTGTAAACCCTCACCTGTGAAGACTTTCAGTGCCCTCAAAAGCATAAGCCCCAAATCATAAACCGTAAAACCTACAATCCCTAAATACAGGTGTGGGACTCTGACTTCATGGGCATGGACTTCCTGGGCGAGGCAGCTCATGGGGGTATTATACAGAGGTCTGTAAGGTTATGTAGGGGTATATAGGGTTATAACCGCGTTTTCAAGGGTAGATGGGGGTTATAAAAGTTTATGTAGGGGTATGTCTGGGATAGGGGTATGTAGTGATGTAAGCTTTAGGGTTCAGGGGTTCCTCAAAATAGGGGTGCCCTTAGAGACCGAGAAGTGTGCACGGACTTCAGACGGATTGTGGGGTACCTGGTGAGGATTCTGTATGGGGCATTATTGAGAATTTCTTACATGCGCTCGCGTTGAATATTTGAAGGGCGGTGACTGAAGCGGTTGCCGCAACTGTGGTGTCAGGATTACGTCTATGCATCTAGCATGCCTCAATGATGTTTCCCTGTCTCCCTTTTGAAGCCAGGCAGGGAGAGATTACGGTTTTTGGGCCAGGGTAGTTCACAGGACCTCCTCAGTGGCTTTGGTTGTGGGAAGAATGCAGATGACAAAGCAGTGACCTGCCAACCCTGAATATTTCATATACGAAATCTGCTAGATGATGTAGAAGCATGTCAGTCTGATCTCGAAAGGCGTGGCTCCCACCGCTCTCCGAGTTCGGTGCACGGCCCAAGGACGGGACTTCAGTTATATAGTTCGCAACGAGAGCCGGAGACACAAAGCATTGGGTCATTGGCTTTGATATTTTAATCTTTCCAGGTTTAGATTGTCTTGGCGGACATCCAGGGATCCTATTGGATCCTGTTGAGAGGGAGCGATAATCCCTGAAGATCTTCGAACCCCACGCTGTCAACCTTTTCCAGGCCAGCTCTTCTTGCTGAGAACGGATCCCAATAATAGTCCTTGTCTAGCCACCTAGCAATCCCTACCTTCCATTCCCAGATTTTCTACTAACCACCAGTCTGGGGTGGGGGGAACTCTTGAGGATACTGTCTACCCCTTCACCCTAAGTCCTAAGCCCTAAACCTTAAACCCGAAACCCTAAACCTTGAACTCCAGGATATTGTCCTGCCACTCCAGACGGCCAACTACAGTCCTGATGCGGAGAACGGGTTGGGGACCCGACGGGCATACAGGGATTAGGGCTTAGGGTTTAGGGTTATATCCCGCAGCGGTTTATACCCCAAATCATGGAGAATGAAATGGAAAGGAAAATGGAACATGAAATGGAAACTGGGACTATTATGGGTTATATGGGGTTATATTGGGGTTATATGGGGATATGGAAAAGAAAATAGAAACTACAGGGATTATAGGGGTTATATAGGGTTATATAGGGATAATGGAAACGACAATGGTAAATCCCTAAAGGGGTTATGTAGGGGTTATATAGGGATTATTATAGGAGTTACGTTGGGATTCAAATGGGATAATGGAAAAGAAGGTGGAAACTATAGGGAGTACACGGATTATGATGGCTCTCCTTTAAAGGACAGCAATCTTTGTACGGCGCCTTTTTAGTCTTCTTGTATGCTGGCTGGTAGGGGGTTGTATAGAAATCCTTCCGTGTTTCAGAAATGGCGAAGATGTTTGTGCCCGGGCTTGTTTGGCTTTGTAGAACAGGGGTTTCCAGAAGCTAGGGATATTTTCAGGGTCCCTACAGGCCGTATTGGGGTCCTGCTGTTTTGGAAACGCCCATGCACCCTTACCCTCTAGTTTGAGAACGCTCAGATGCAAAAGTATGCAAGCTTTGCTGTGGAAGACCAACTTGTTGGCCGCTGTTTGCAGGGTTCAGACTGGCCAAAGTGGAGTTCTTCAGAACTGAATCTTTGAACTTTCGGAGACAGGGTGGTCTCGTCGTGCTTTAGTGGCTACCTACTCCTCAGTAGATCTTGACCCAAGATTGATCAGGAGGTCCCAGTGACAAATAGAAAGCTTTCTCGGATTAATTTCTCCCGTAACCACTGCTGAGCATGAACTTCTTTCAAATCTTGAGAAGATTCTCCCAGGATTTGGAATGGCAACGTGCGTTGGATACCAAAGATCTGCAGTATCATAGTATCTAAGAATAGAAGCAAGGTTTCAGATATTTCGGGTCGGCCAAGATTTGCAGCATTATACTATAGCATTCTGAAATTTACTATAGTATACTATATTTAGTATATCATGATCTACTATAGTGTATAAAATACTATAGAATATTTTCATATAGTATAGTATATTGAAATAGATTTTGTCTTGGGACTCCAAGGCCTTCCAGGCATGATCCGAAGAAGGACCTCAAGGACGATGGCACAAATCCAAACAAGAAGGCCTGCGCGCAGACAAACTTCACTTACCTTTGGTTAGCTAGGAATGGAGGAATGGATCTTTATAGCAGTTCCTATATAAGCCATTATACTAGTTTCCAGTTTGTTTTCCATTCCTTCATTCCCAGCTAAGCAAAGGCCAGTTCAGCGTTTAGGGAGGCTTGGGCTTTAAGAGTTAGGGCTCCGTGTCTAGGACTTCAGGGCTTAGATTTAGTCCGGGCTTTGGTTTAGTGCTTACGTAAGACTCCAGCGCGAATCTAAGCTCGAATGTGGGGGTTGGTCGTGCGAGCCGCCTCTCTACGGATGACGGATTGCGCCAGATTTAAGTAGGTAACCATAACGTGACAAAAGGACAGAGGTATGTTTGGCACCTTGCACTTTTTGAATAACTCCTACCTTGGCGGATGCATGGTTGCTGCAGAAGTCGTGGTGGTGGTGGTGGTGGTGGTGGTGGTGGTGGTGGCAGCAGCAGCAGCAGCAGCAGTAGTGGTAGGAGGAGTGGTGGAATTAGTATTGTGGAAGGTATTAATTAGTTGTGAGTCTAGGCATGAGTATCAGTACAAGTATGAGTTTCACTGGTATTCAAAATGATGGCATCTAGCCTTGAAATCAGTTGAAGGCTCGGGTTGGTGTTTTGAGATTCAAGATGTCCGCATGGTAGGCACAGTCTTTTACTGATGATGAAGGAAAAAGCAAGGCCTGTGTTTGCCCATATATAGCTGGGACCTGAGCTAGGAAAGGAATTAGAGTCAAGGAGTCCCCAGAGGTTCATGTCAGGTATAAGGGGTTATGGGTATGATAAGCATGGCTGCAACTTAATTGAGGTGACGTATGCTACAAAAGTAAAACTACCTACGAGCCTCGATAATTTGCAAAGCAGCTTCCACTTTGAGGAACGCAGCCTGGCATGGCCTGAGCTAGTGGAACATGCCCCAAGCAAGGCCCTGAATTCCTAAGCTCTAAGCTTTTACGACTCCCAGAACCCTGCATCCTAAATCCTACGCCCGAATATACACCTTGTTTCCATTTCCATTCTATGTTTCCATTCTCTCTGATTAAAAGTATATCTCTATATATGCCTATTGCTATATAAGCCTAACAACCTCCTTTTATAAGGCCCGACGGCCAGGTGACAGGCGACATTTTCTTGACAGTCAGCTGGAACTACCCCACCATCGAGGGCAGAGGTTGGGCAAGTTTCGAGTTCTAGGGCTAAAGAATTCAAGGAGAGTTTAGAGGCCCTTTCATACCTTTTGCGTGGAACGAACTTAGTAACTGAGGGGCGCGTTCTTGTTTGGGAGGGGCCTCACCCTGAGAGCCTGAGGCTTTCACGAAGATGTACCTGAAGAGGACGTGTTTCTTAGTTTGGAAGGTTTTCTTCCTGCCCTGCATTGAATCACTCTCGAATAAAAGTCTCTGTTTGAAGCCTATGTCATATCAAGGTATGGTTCTCTTCAATTTGGGGGAGTTGACATTCTGGATGGTTTGCCATGCTCAAGCCCGCTAACTATGCTGCAAGTATGTGCCAAAGTCTGGTCTGACACTCCAGATCATAACAGCTTTCCGCCAGGGGCCCATAGATATGGTACAGGTCCAGTTTTAAATTCTGAGTCCTCAGCCTGATTGTAGGAGCTGACCTGAAACTGCTAAAATGATATTGGGGCCCCTCAATCCTAAATCCGAAACCTTGGACCTGGGTCAGGATGCCAATTTCTTTAGTGATTATTGCAGTTCCCAGAAACATCAGGGACAACGCGCGGCAAAGCACTGTGTCACAAGTAGGGGCAGTACTCACACGGGGAAGGGGGCAGAACCCCTATAGATGATCATATTCCTGCAGTACATCATTAAGAGCAACAGGATGAGCTATCACCATGGTAAAAGGAGCAGTCTATTTTCCTCCTGTGGCTAGGGCTTCTGAGTCCTTTCCCCAACACCTCCAATCACTGCTATTTGGTTCGGAGAGCTTTGTCTACCAAGGGAGGGTTCAGGGTTTGGGGGTTGTCGGGGGAGTTTTGACTTTAACTCAGGGATCCCAGCAATTCTCTGTAGAATCTCCGCAGAAACCGTATTTGAAAACACCTGTCCAATCCCGGTACAGACCTGTGCAATGCTGGAATCTTAGAGGCTACGACGTCATCCAACTCCGTACAGCCCTATAGAGTCCCAACACAACCACTCGAAGTTCGGCCTAAGACAACTCAAGATTATCCTCACAAAGCTGTTCGTGCCACCTTTTGCTGTACCATAGTCAGGCCCCAGAAAGTACGGTCAAAACCTTGCGCAGCTGATTCTGATTCCAACGAAGCCCTGAAAGGGCTTGACACTTCCCTACGAGCAAAAACCTTTATCTCTGAACTGTAAGCCCTAAACCACAAACATTGAGAGGCCTGGATGTTGATGTGGAGACATGGCTGACCATGCTTGAGGCGAAGAACGTCAGGCCCAGATGGTCTTGAGGGTTCCCTTGGAAGATTGGGGTTTGCAACTATCAGGGTCCCTGGTTGAGGGTTGAGGATCGCCGCAACGAGGAGTACCCGGATATGGCAAGTAGGGGATACAGCATGGGGTTTGGCGTTGGTTGGCTTTAAGACTTAGGGCGTAGGTTTAGGATCTATGGCTTTGGTGGTTCCGTCAAAAACAGCATGAGTGGCAATCCAGGGTTAACAAGTGTGAGTGTAGAGAGACATTGCGTAGGGATTACGCTCGGCATCGCTTACGTTCTTGCTTTGTTGAGTGGACATGACTTTTTTGACAAATCAATGAGCTGTCGGGTTTTCCTACCAAAGGCATGGATCCCCAGGTGTTTTGGTGTAGGATTCCAGCTTCAGAGCGTTCTCTGATTGCCCTTCGGGTCCTACGTGCAGGTTCCTTGCAAGGCGTAGGATTCGGCATTGCGTCCGCTTAGGTAGGCTTTGGGTGTCTGGCAGTGAGATGCAGAGTTTAGGGCTCAAGTGGTAGTTTCCCAAAATTAGGACCTCAATAATCAACCCCAAGTAAATCTTGGAGCTGGGCTTGAAGACATTTGCTTTTGGAGCCGTGCATGGGTTTTGAATTTCAGGGTTGGGGCTCCAGGCTTCTGCTGGAGGGGGCTCGTATCATGCTGAGTGCATGATTCTTTGGGGCGTGCACGGGGGCCCAGAAATTCAAGAAACCTCCTCTACAGTGCCGGAACCCCAGAGCAAATCAATACAGGGCAACAAGAGCTTTCAAGCCGTATGCCGAATTCCAGCGTGGCTGCTCACTGAGGGCGAAAGTTCTCAAGGAGGGTGAGCTCACGAAATACCAGGCGCGTGGGCTTGAGTGCCAGCCTCCCCTAAGCCAACATGGAGCCCCAAATGGGCCCTGATGAGACTATTGTCCATTGCAATAGGTGCTATCAGCGTTTTCACGTGTGTATGCATCATTTTTAATGGGGACAATATAGTCCCCAACTTTCAGCAAGATTCCATCACGTCCTTTTGGTTCTCGTATTTTAGAATACGAATGTAATGTAACATTGTATTTGGTTCAACGACTACTCATATAGGCTTCAAGACGGGTAGGCATTTGCCTTCCAGGCCTCGGTTCGGTGCTGGGGGGCTTCAGGTGGAGGGGCGGAGTGGTGCTGGATGGCTTGGCTAATGTAGGGGCTTAGATAACAAGGAATATGGTGGTCCTAGATTCCTGGTATGATTATGGCGGCCTACAGTACCTCAAACGGATCTGAAACTGATGTTGGATTTGAGGCCTCCGCAGTAGTCCCGAGCTTTAGCCCTTTGGCAAAGGAATGATCGCGTCTTTAACGATGCCACAGCCCCATCTGGAAATGAACATACACAAAAGTGCTCGACAAGAATCCAATTCTCGTCAGTCTGCTTTCAAAGCCTGCCCTTCGCTCCCTTGAACTTGGGTGTCCGGTGGTAAGTCCTACCGTAGTGACTTTTTTTCACGGGGAAGAGGTGGATCACTTTGCGGTGATATGATATCGTGTTTGGAGCAATACTGCCTGCCAACAATGATGAATGAGGACCCCGTCAACCATCAACGCAATGGTTCGGATCGTTCAGGTTGCAGTGAGGAGGCTCTACAAATTTGTAGTGTCTTCCATCTTTGAGCAGCCACCTTTGTTGAACATCGGCCGATGACCCTCTGAGCCTTGACACCCATTGACACCCTCAATCCTAAATCCACAACTCTGAACCCTAAATCCTCAACCGTAACCCAGCACCTGCACCCCAAACCCTGAACCCTGAAAGCACAACCCTAAGCCCTAACCCTATGCCTCAGCAGAAGTCCTACCCAGACCCCCCAAAAGATCCAGCACATGGAAACTCCGCAAAAAGACTCCATGTCTACATTGCGGAAACTAGGAGGTTATTGGACAGGTCACGAAGCCCTAATCCCTAAAGCTGATATGTGACTTTATATTCGTACATGACCCCTGCATCCCCTTTAAAACAGGCCCTTATGGAATATCTGGTAGGCAGCGATCATCGAAAAGCATCGCACGGTGCGGAACATCCGACAGACCATGGTGCGATGCTCTGGATTTGGGGTGTGTTTTGGGGTTTTGGGTTTTAGGGCGTTTTAGATTTCAGAGCTTTGGGATTACGAATGTTGAGTTAAACGTGTTGCGAGTTTAAGGTTCTTCGCCCGAAGCCCCCAAATGAGGACCGGATGACTATGATACATAGGCTCTCGTTTACGAGGGCACAGGTCCTTCGTGCAGGCAAGTGATAGAGAGACAAACAGCCTGAAGCAACAATACAAGAGACTCTTCTAGGCTTTATGCAGGGCTTGGGATTTGGGTGAAGGGTACGTGATTTTGGGATATGTGCTGTTCTGGAAGGGAACCCTTTCCATGTCAGTCTGAATATGGCAGCCGGCATTTTTGGTGGTTAGCAGCGCACGCGGATTGCATCGGACGTGCAGCTGCTTCATCCTCACCATCAACCCGCGACCCTCAACGTGCAGGTCTGTATCAACATCAGGGCGGTTATATGGTGAGCCTGAAGACAAATCCATGCTGGGGAACTGTGATGATGTAAGTGACGTGCAATGGGTTTTCTCAAGGGATGAGTTGGTTACTGAGATGCGTGTCTTTTAGTCAATGCCGCATGAGGAAGAGACCCCAAACCCGAAAGTCATTGTCCCACAAACTAACATGGAAGGCATTTTTGGGCTTCCATGTTAGGTGGCCGGGGTGCAAGCCTGAGTATGGCATAAGGTTTATGCAGACTTTGGGACACTACACTTCTAGATTCAGGGCTACAGGCTGCTGGACCCTCATTTGGGTTCTATGAGGTGTTATGGGTTATATAGCATTATATTGAGATATATAGCGATTGCATAGGGATTACATTTTCTTCGCTCAAAAGGGTGTTGCTTGAAGACCTTGGTGCCCTCTTTCCCAACGGGAGGATCCATATGTAAGTCCTTTAGCATGCATCAGGATTTCTGTTTGGGTATCTGGTAGGCCCCAACCCAAAGATTGGCTGCCTCAAAGATTGGATCAAAACACCCTCCAGTCCAGTTTCGACATGCTACTGCAACTCTTTTGTTGGGCTTTGCGAACGGGTCTATCACCAGCCATGCGAAGCAGATCTTATGTTGGCAAAGTTCTCTGTTCTTAAATGATTTCACCATCTCAGATCCTAAGCTTTAAGCCCCGAACTAAAATCCTGAACCCTAAGCCCTAAGCTGCAGGTCGAGGACAAGGCGCCGTTTAGACTGAAGGACGAGTTCTACAAGGGGCCCGGAGCTTGTCGTTCCCCTGTGAGGGCTGAGGGTTTATTTGAAGCATATAGGGGTTTGAGGTGTTTTTTGTGCATGTTTCGGTGCGATAGGGGGCATATCTTGTTGCCAAATGTATGTATATATATATATACATATACACAAACATATTATACACATATACATAGCTATAGAGGCCAAGTTTGATAAATTCCCATCTGATTTGTGCAGTTTAGTCTAGTGGAGGCTTGATCGCATAGCTTTTGGAATCAGGCAGGATTCCTGTAGACCATCATTTGGGTTCTGAGGACAGACAAGGAGATCATGGGTTCGACCCATCAAGCATATGGAAGGTTGTGGCAATGGCAAGGCAAGGGCTTCCTTCCATTTTTTCTCGCTATGCAGCTCTGCTGAGGCTGGGAATCAATGAAGAGAAGGTCAAGAGGATCATCAACACCTGGTTCAAGGACAACTATTAACTATTCAAGCCACATGAGCCCTAAGCCCCTCATATATGTGTGTATGAGCCCTGTATGATCTAAATGTATAATCTAAACGTTCGATTCCATAACACCTTAATATAGCCCCTAGAACAAATTTTGGGCCTCAAGCTTACTTCTACAGGCAGGACGCGACACTACCTCCAAAACCCTAGGCCCCAAACCCCTAAATGGGACACCAGTCTGATTCCATTCTCGCTGCAATGTGCGCATGCAAGGCTCTCATGTTTCTTGGGGCTACGCGGGGGTTTAGGGCTTAGGATTTAGTATAGAACCCATATATAACCTTAGCTTCCATTTCATATTCCATTTTCTGTTCCATTTGATTCTCCATTTTTGGGGGATGGTATCCCGAAAGTAGGGGGCTTGTGCGCTGTGTGAAAAAGCTTACTTGTAGCTGCTCGCTGCGCCTACTCATGGAAATTATGTTCCCTTGCTACAGCACGCTGATATCTTTCTATTTGCTACTTAAGTCTGATGGTAAAGGAGAAGAATGCTTGAAGTTGTGAGAAGAGCGTTTTCAGATGAGCCAGCAAGTAACGTAGTACGTAGAACATGGTCTCCTCAACATCTGCTTGTTCTATCAGACGACTGCATCATATATCAGAGTTGCGTAGCGACCGGCTTGCAGACCGGATGTCAGAAAACTTGTTCCTTGCTGGTAGGGAATTGAGGAGTTAACTCCTTGTAATAGCCCCTGGAGTTTCCCCATTTTCAACAGTTAAAACCCTATAGTAGCTTCCATGTTCCTTTTATTTCCTTTACGTCCCTTGGAAGGTGTGTGACTTGGGTACCCTAAGCCCTAGTAGTTCAAGTCCGACTTGACGAGTCCAAGTGCCTGAACGTTGTGTGACTTGGATCCTCATGGAGATTTACAAGCTGAAGCAAGCTGGATTCCGATTCCTGTCTTTCTCAAGCAGGTCGAACACAGGGAATCTGATGAACAGCTTTTACTTCTGGCACAACCTGTGCTCGATTCATCCTTCTGAAGTTCTTTCTAACTTTGAGTGCGCAGTTTCACCCCCTCTCAACCCTGCAGCTTGCTCCGAGAATCTAGACTCCAACCACACATGCTCATCACAACTGATGAGCATGCGTGGACAAGATTCCATAGCAAGGCCCGCTTTCCCAAGTCCAGCCTCTTTGAGGACCAGTTGTCAGAGGACATCAAGAGCCGAGCGATACAGCAGGACTCATGAGGGACAGGGGAGAGAATGGGTAGATCAGCAAAATTGGGGTGCCGGGCCATGACTCAAGAACATAGTGTAGTTCTTGGGGCCCATGATCTGGAGAAGCTGCACGAGGTCAAAGCTGGGCGGGCGGGCTTGGGGTTGGAGGCTTTCTGGGGTAGAATTAAGGGTTTAGGGTTCAGAATTTTGCTGTCGGCAGTTAGGATTTCTGAGACAGGGGTTCCGGCCTCTGGAGTCAATGAAATGACAGCTGCCTTCTTTGAGGGTCTGCGATTAATCTGAAGGGGATGCTGGTCTGCGATTTTGAACTTAAAAACCCTCAACGGTAGGCAAGAAACTTACAGCCTGAGCCATGAAAATTGAATCCCTATCTGAAGAGTTTTTTAGGCGAATTTTGAGAGGAAACCTCAAGCTCAGAGCTCTCAGTCATTCTTGTCATTTCTGAATGCAGGAGCACAAGCACAGTGGATTGTTGACCGTCCGCATCGAGAGGGTGCGCGCCTGCAGACTTTGGGGGCTCTTGGAGTCTGGGAGATATTGTATCTTGGGAGTCTCTATGGTGATTGTGCAGAAATGATCGGGGTTACGTGGGAAGGGGCTTCCATGAAATCCTCCGGAGCGATCACCACAGTCCCTTCCAGAATTCATTAGGCATCCATGGGCAGACCTCTTGTTTCTCAAGCTCTACAGAGGGTATAGGATTACGAATCGCTCGGGATGTGAGGCTTAGGGTTGAGGGCTGCGTTGTGAACCTCCGGTTCAGGCCTGGCACCCGGAGGAAATTCAAAACAGAATCCTTACATCACCGCTTCACGTTTTCCTATCCTGGTAAATTGAGGTTTGGAGCGTCCGAAAAGGCACGCCAAACTTGACCAAATCGGTCAACACAACAACCCTGCACCTTCCCTTAGCTGCCAAATATGTAAGCTTCTCAAAGTTGGGCTCCAAAATCACTTTGCAAGCCCCATTGCCTAGGGTCCATCAGGGCACCCCCAGTTCGGATCTTGGCAGGCTGAGCGCCTAAGGCGCGCCGATGCCAAGACGATGCGCGATTGTACCTAGGCAACAGGAGCTAGCGCAAAACTGCGGCAAAGCTTTAGGACCTAGGCTTTAGGACTTAGGACTGAAGGCTTCCGGTCTAGGACTTGAACTCTAGCATGCGGGTTGATTTCAAAGGTTGTTGCAGAGATTGTTCGCGGGAGCTTGCAGGATTAGTTCAAGAATTCGAGGTCTGTTACGGGATTTTGTCAAAGCCGTGAGAAAGTGAAGGGATCGTATTGTTCTGGGGGCAGGCAGAAATAACCCAAATGTGGTCGTTTTGCTTCAGGATTGTGAGGATGTTATTGGTGGACTCAGAATACCTCATAATTGAAGCAGTGCATCTCCATTCCCTAGCTGAACTTCCCTATCGCATAGCCTCTTTAAATTGATCGTGAGCACCGCCAATCACCCAGCTGAGAAAATAGGGTCTGCGACCCCAAAGCGCTGCTAGCATAATTTGTAGTTGATTCAGTTTGATGGCCTGGAGGCATGATGTAGGCATCATGTCTGGATTACGTAAAGCCTTGCTCAGAACCAGGGTTGTCTTGTTGGGGATCTGTCAGCGGCAAGCGGAGTGTTAACCTGTAAACAATCTTAGAGTGGGACTATTCAGCTTTTCATTTCAAGGAGTTTGCATTTCCTTCGTTCATTTTTGAGGCTGTTGTGGGTGGAAGCCTAGAATTCCGAGGTTGAACCTGAATCTTGGGGCTCTAGGTTTAGCGCTTTGAAGGCTGTGGCATTTCGGGATTTGGGTGTTGAGGATTCAACCCACAACAACCTTCAAACCAGGTTGACTCTGGTGGGGGGGGGGTAGCACAGGACGGATTTAATGGTAATTATGTTCCGTGACATTCGAACCCAAAACCCCACAGCCCAAACACGAAATCCAACACTACATGCAAACAATCCTACACATCACTATGGACCCGATGTATCCCCATAAACCCCTATAGAACCCTAAGCCCCACAGCCTAGGCGATCCGAAAGCCTTGCTTTGGGTGCGAAACGACGTGCATGGGGCCTGGCGCAAGGCCTGCAGGTGAGTGTCACAGGGTTTAGAGACGGAGATAAAACCATGAACCCATGAACCCTAAACCCCCGTTTAGGGTTGAGGGTTTAGGGTATACTAGCCATGAACCCATGAACCCTAAATCCCACACCCCTAGCCGCTTAGACCATTAGGCGCTTAGGCGGTTGGGGCCCTCAGGTGCTTAGGCCCAAACCCTTGTGCGCTAAGGCCCTCAGGCGCCAAGGCATCAGGGCTTCACGTAGTCTGTGTTAGGGAGCCTGATTAGAATATCTCAGGGTTTGGGCTCTTTGCTTAGCTTTGAAAGCTACAAAATGCGGAATTTTTGCAACTGCTTTGTTTTCAGGAAATTTGGATCCTGAAAAATTGCAAGTCTAATTCGTCTCGAGGGACTAGGATTAAGCATTCAAGGTCTAGGGTCTAGGGCTTAGGGCTACCATGCGGGGGCTGTGGCATTTAGGGTCTCGCATCTGGACCTTTAGTAATGGAGAATCACATGGAACATGACATGGACAAACGGGCACCTCTAGGTCATGCCTGTAGTTTAGGTACTGCCCCCACCCAGGAACAGTCTATAGTAGGGGTCCTAGTAAGGGCTCTACATCTTCATATTACAGTTCTTGTCCAACTGCTGCTGGGTAGGGGCAGTACCCAACCTACAGGGTCCCTTGATATCCCTTGATTGCATATTCAAACGCTCCGAGATCGACCTTGGCTCCAAAAGCCGGATACCTCTGCCCAGGGGCCCTTCCCATCAACTCTAGCTTCTAGATTTCGACAGCCGAGGGTTCTAGGGTTGTATTCTAGGGTCACAGCCCTAACTAAAAGGTTCCACCAAGATCCTAGGTTTCCTGCAATACATCTTTAAGCCCAGAGGTACAACCTTAAGGGTACAACCCTGGAAGCCTTTCAAGCACTCCTGCTTGGCCAGCGCCCGTTAATGCAAACGGGCCGGATCTCCAACGACCGCAATCCTCGGTGGAGCTTCGAAGACAGCAAGACCCTGTTCTCTGCATCCTTCGAGGCTCTTGCTGTGCTTGGCCTGGAAGATAGCAAGCAAGCAATTTTCTTGGGAACATCCTTTGCCCCTGTGTTGTGTAGGTCATATTCAGCATCAAGGGTCTACAGCTCAAAAAGATAGGCATTTTTTTGGATTCAGGGCCCCAACATCTGTAGAACCCAGACTAGTTGGCGCCCGCTGATGGTTGGAGTCAACGGCTGTCGTTGTTCTTTTGTCTACAGTGGAGCCATGGCGGGATGGGTTGGTCCAAGTCCATGAGCAGGAGCAGAAACTAGAGAGTTTTTGCCTCTTGTACTCTAGCATTGTTCTTTTCGGTTTTCAGAAGAAGTCATCGGCTTTCAGAGGGAGAGCTTGGGGAGCTGCTCTGCATCCGTTTAGGCAAGTATCGGGCAAAGAATCCTTGTTACGCATTGGATCTGGGTTGAAGATTTGACCAGTGGTGGCATGCAAGCCTGGGATTGTGGGGAGAAACTCCTGCGCTGTTGTCTGACTGTGGCGGCGCGCAAAGACACTGTCTTGATCAAACAAGTTGCAAGGGAGCCTCCTGCTCCCCCATGAACAGCAGTCACGCGTCAAAGCCACATATTTTGGCCTTGCGATGAGGCAAGTGAGATGAACACCGCCTATCCTCAGCAAGTCATGACTACCTTTCCGCCCCAGTACATATCCAGGTTGCAGATGCGCTGACATCCTAGCTCCATAGGCCTGCTCGACTAGAGAGAATCTAGATCTTGAGAAGCCGCCCCTAATTTGTATCATTGCATAGAGCATAGAGTCTATATATTTCCATACGGTAGGCACACTCCCCCCACAGCCTGCAGCTTCTGCCTTTCGACCCACACGCCGCTCGCCGTCTGATGGGGCCTGGAAGCCATGGGCAGCTTACACTCCGAACCTGCCGATACCCTGGGGGCTTTCTGAGGTCTATTTGAGCTATAGTCTAAACTCCTTAAAGCGGGTTGTATAGGGGATTCTATGGAGGATTACTTTAAGGCTTATTAAGGGGGATACTAGGAGTCTAGACTATGGCTCATTTGGGGAAGTAGGGACCTGGGAATCCGCAGTATCTAGATGCTGCAGAAGCCCAAAGCATTTTTCATTACCGGTGTTACTCCCATATAATTCCTGAGCTAGCTGTGGTATAGTATATCACAAGATTTTCTGACAACAACTCCCTAAATTGCAATCGGCATAACCCCGTGTGTAAGCCAAGTTTCCGTTTCCTTTTCCACTTGCTTCTCCATCTTACCCTAAATTCTATACCCCCCCTAGAAGCCTTCGAAGGGACTGAACTACGGTATCCAATTCATGCTGACCAAGTGAAGGAGAGCTGCAAATTAGGCATGAATTGCGGAGCCTTAGGATTGTGCGCATGGAGTTTAGGGCTTAGGATTTAGGATGTTTGTAAGATTACCAATGTCACTCCTACATACTTCCTGACGTAGCTATGGTTATAGTACATCACAAGACCCTCCTATTATTTAATGACCCCTAAGCTACAAGCACCATTGACCCGCATGTAAGCCCAGCTTCAATTTAATCTGCCATGTGATTCTGCGTTACTTGCACAGGGCTGACTCAGTCAGAGGATCCACCAGGAGTGTCTGACATCTTAGATACGGGTCTTTCCGCATTCAATATGTGGGGTGGGCATTAGCATCGTGTTGCCAGACATGGGTCTGAGCTGGATCGCTCCTAGAAATTGAATCAACCTTGAGGAAGCCCCTCAACAATCCCTTTGCTAGGTAGGGAAAACCAAAGTTATAACAGTATAACCCGGGAATATCTCCTTGTCCCTCATAACTTGAAACCGGTAGTCTAAATGGCACTAGTGCTTCGTAACTCACCTAGTCCCTTAGTATCCCGAGGGTCCCTGGGCTCATATCATGCTTGGACATGGCCACATTGAGGCCCCAACCTACTGAGGCTGTTGAGCAGGTGGCCGTTGAGGCGGCCAGCAACGACAAAGCCTGCACAGAGAAGGCTTTGTCGAGGGCTAGTTCAGGTTTCATGATTTTAGCGTCAAGGGTTAGGATTATCGTCCCCTTAAGTAGATAGAATATGGCTTCGGGTACATTATAATTGGCGTCTACTATAATAAAGATCCCTATATACCCCATTCAGGGCTTCTGGTTTTGTGTTAGTGGTTATGATTCGGGTTTTGGGGTGAAGCTCCTCCGCAGATTGCAAAGCTGCTGCTCCTAATTCTGGCATTATTCAAACCTCCATCAATGTGGGGGTTTCCCAAAAGTACAGGTGCCTTTTTGGGGGTCCCTATAATAAGGCTTAATATCCGGGCTTCTTGGGTCTTTCGTGCCTCCATGGGGCTTTCCTTGTACTTCCGGACTGCTCTTAGTCATGCTTAGTTGGGAATATTGGGACTGGGAAGTTAGGGTCTTCGGGACTACGACGCAGATTATTTTTTGGTGATTTCTTGGGACTACTAACTATATGGATCCATGCCCTTTTTCACCAGAAGCAAGGTTGAGGGATGAGGGCTCAAGGAGGAGAGCCATTATCATTGCTACAGAAACAACAGCTACTACTAGTAATACTCATCATACTAATAATAACAATAGCAGTGCTGGTAGTATTCTACTGTTTCTTCCATTTTTTTCTACTATTTCTGTGGCTTCTGTTTTCGGGAAGAGGAGCCTTTAGAATCTGGAGCAGATAGATTCGGAGTTTCAAGTGGAATTGCTCTAGGAAGGTTAGGCAAGAGATATGCGTGATCAACTGTTCACACCAGCGCGAAAAAACAAACACCATGATGTCAGGAACCCTTAACTCGAAACCCTGGACCCTAAGCCCTAACATAGGGTGCAGCTGAATTTATTCAAAGCTGCAGGTCAAGGCCTTGTGCCCAGGATCCCTAGATTTTTTTTAGGGTTCAGGGTTCAGGGTTTAGGGTTAAGGGTTTAGGGTTCAGGCTTAGGGGGTTTAGGACCCTAAGCCCTAAACCCCTAAACCCGGGTTAAAGGGATTCAACTAAAGGGTGTCCCCCTCCCTAAGCTGCTATGGAAGTTCAAGAAATGCCCTGTGGACACGACAGTTTTCAAAGAGGTCTACATGGGCTGTAGTTTCAACTCCTTAAAGGGGGGATATATAGGGGGTTATATAGGGTACTACTATAGGGGTTATTGAGGGGGATACTAGGAGTGTAGACAATGGCTCACATGGCAAATAAAGGAGAACCAAATGGGAAGGAACATGGAAAATACAACGGGCGCTACTAGAGGTGTAGGGACTATTTGGTAGTTTCCTAAAATCGGGGGCCCGAATCTAGACCCCAACACATTATGATCCTTTTCACCCCAAAGAGGGACACCTACTTTTTCCGGAAATCCTCACCACCCAAACCCACCATATAATCCCAGAGTCCATTTCGTTTTCCGTTTTCTTCCATTATCAGGGATCCGTAAGAGCTATGTAATCCATCTCTTTTGACCCCTCCAATATCTTTTAGGGCAGTCGCCAGGCGTCGGAGGATTTCAACGTGCAAGACTTGCTGCGGGGGTCTTGATGGTTGGCTTATTGGGGGCTAGTAACGGTTACTATGTAGGGCATAAGGAAAGATCTTATATAGGGATTGTATTCTCCATTCCCTACGAACCACCAGTAAGTTTCATGATTCTGTTCTATTTCCCACGTAGGTTTACTAATCACAGAGAACATAGCGACGGGGTTGTTTGATGCACTTCTAGGTTCTCCATGCTTCTAGGTTTTCCATGCTTGGGCATGCGTTTTGATGGCCTGGCTGTAAGAGAGTTTCGGCAGTAATCAGGCTAGCATTTAGGGGCAGTCGGTTTGGGTTGAGTGCCTCAGGATCCTGTGATCCCTAGCCAGAAAGAAGAGAAATGTTGGGTATGTACGATGTGTTGCGAAGCTTAAATGCCAGTGCTAGATTCCGTGTAGTCTGCGTTGCTCGCACCGGCTGTCCTTACAGAGCGGCCGACCAAAGTCAAACCTGCTTTCCAAGGGTGTACTTGTTTCCCCATATCCAACAGGGCGGGTAGTACAATCTGTCGCGGGAAGATATTCACATGACATTTTCTCCCTTCCTTTGTCCTGCAAACGCTGTATGTTCCGAATGTCCAAAGACTTTTCAGGGTATATTCCTGCTCAAGCATTGCAAAGGCCTGATTTTGGACAAGCTGCAGCCATCAATCTTTCCTGCACGTTGGTGACGGTTTTTATAGACGTCTATGGCAGAGTTCGAAACAACAGTCTAAGGGACTATAGTCCTTGGGACGGGGGATCCCAACCATCCGGCACATTCCAACTAATATCAGGGTTCCAATGCTGCTGTTTTTGGAGCACTGCGAAAGCCGGCGCGCCATATATCCCAAACCTTACGCAATTCTATCCTACTAACTCGGGAATGAGGGAATACAATCCCTATGTAATCCACAGAAATTATATTCCCGTATTCCTTACTTACGCGCCCACTCTATACGCCCCTAAGAGATTGCTCAGGCGCCACCTCCAGGAGCAGGAGGGCTACGAGGTCTATGACATCTTTGAGCGTGGCCGGGAGCGAGTCCCTACGCAGGTCCGCCTGTGGCTAGAGGACTGGACCCTGGAGAAATTAGCCGGGGAGGGGGGTGATGAGGGTTAGGGGCTTGTGGCTGTAGGCTACAGGGATGTGGCCAAAGGGCCTTCAGGTAGGGTGCTGGCTGGGTGCGTCTTACTTATGAAGGGGCTGGGTTGTCCATGACCAGAATTGTTTTCACTTGCGTGTGATCTTTGTGGTGGAGAGGCCTTCGTACCTGAAACCTACAAGTAGCGGCTGCAGGTTATTGCAAATCATGGCAGATAATTTTGGTGTGGGATGAGAAGTTTTCAGGCTCAGGTACTGTACAGATTAAGTACTCTTTCCGGGAACTCCAACATACGGACTGAAGACAAGGCAACATCAGACAAATCTTCAGGCCGCACGCCTGCTCACCTCAATAATAGTATATGCATACTGCAAGGATGCTCCCTGTCAGCTCTTGCAGGCAAACTTAGAAACAACATTGACCCTCTCCTCCCCTCGAGGGGTTCAACTGCGGTTCCACTGGGGAAAAGTGCTTGATAAAGGTGTTTCTAAGATATGGAACCCCTGCAAATATTGCCACATAAACAACTGCTAAATTACAGCTACCCATTCTTCACGAGAAGGTGACTGGGCCGCCACTTCACGGCCCGTACTGCTACATTTTAAGACCAAGTGTGGGAAGCATTTCATGGGGAGAGCTAGAGTGCTGCTGCGAAACTCTTATGAATTCAGGAGTTTACCTCACGGTAGACAGGGCGCGCACATGGAGGGTAAGCCCTGGGTCCTAAGTCTGCCCCTGAAATGCACCAAGCTGTTGGAATCCTACCATAACAGGGACACCCTAGGGCTCAGATAATACAATTCTGTTTGCTTGGCCGGTGGCTGAGGAGCCTCACAAGGCTATAGTACGCGCCCATGGCTCTCCAAATCACAGTCATAATGATACCAAAAGCCAAAGACAGTACTGCCGTACTGCCTGCTATCACCATTGGTATCGTTGAGAGTGGTATCGCTGCTGCTTTCTCCTGCCTACCTGTGCACACCCAAGCTCGAGAGCAACTTGATCTTGGTTGCCTTGAATTCTACCTGGGCATTCAGCATCATGAGTCAAGCTGTGGAGTATTATCATGAGGACTTTGTTGCTTTGGCGGAACGTTCAATTCCCGGATCCACGAGGCCTTCAAATTTAGCAGAATTCCTCCAAATCCTTACCCTCTACACCCTAAACTTGTCTCTGGTTAGGCAGAATGAAGGCATGGATCCTTATGGTCCTTATGTAGCCCCCAGTTGCATAGTAGTTCCATCAGATTTACCACTCCTGCATTCCCTGCTAGCAGAGGTAGTAACCTTTGTATACCCAGTTTCCATTTTATTTCCATTCGATTGTTCATTATTGACGCAATATAGCCCCAATTTAACCCGTATATAACCCCTACCATCCCTATAGTTTCCATTTTCTTTTCCATTATCCCAGTTTAACCCCCACATGTCCTCAACCCTAGGTAAACACCCCAAACCCTAAACCCAGACAAGGACAAGGAGGACTGGCTTGCCACCTCCGATCCCGGCAAGTCGTGGCCTCGATCGTTGGGCCTGACTTGGGATACTAGTTAGAGTGGAGAAGAGCATGGAAAATGAAATGGAGGCTGGGTTTTTCATAGGGGTTTAGATAGATTTAGGGTTCAGTGATTTTGCGGGTGGGGGGGAGGGGTGGGTTGTGGGATTTAGGATGAGGTGCTTAGTATCTAGGCTTCAGGACGAGTTGCTGATTTCGGGTTTACGTAGGCGTCTTGGCAAGACGGTCTTGGGTAATCATCAGAAGGCCCGAAGTTAAGGGTCTTTACGGTTCACGCCTTTGAGTTTGACAAGCTTTTGTGGGTCAGGTTTCACACTGCGAGCAGGGGTATGGTCTTCCAATGTGGCGTTCTTTAAGCGCCTTGATACCTGTTCATGCCTGGATGACCCAAGAAGATTTGGGGGATGCTGAATATCACTGAGTTGGAGCTCGGCTCTACCACCTGACAACAAGGGTGTCCTAGAGCTTGGGGACTTAGAGACCAACTCGACGAAAATGCATCGTGTTCGGACTTTTCGTTCGAAGGTGAGGAATTCAGACGCGCCATGAAAACAAGACTCGTTGGGAACATGCAAGAGTCTATGCCGCTAGCATTCCTGCAAAGCGCGTGCTCACGGTTTCTGACAGGGAGCCCGGGGAGCTGGCATCCCTTTACAGCCCGCATCTACATATGTTTTCACCTACATTCATCGTATCGCAATTGACAGCTCCCACAGCCCAAGATCTTGGTCCTAGGCCCTAGACAACCCCCATGTTTCTCCACATGATGCAGAAGCCTGAATGATTAGTCGTATGAACCTTTAGTCATCCCTGTATACTTGTGTTACAATGTACTCAATTCCCTCTCTCATATCCTTAAATACATTACAAGCTCTTTTCACACATTCATATGCCCAGTTTCCATGTCATTTTCCATACGATTCTCCATCATTCAGAGTAAGTAAGCAGGTTCCTACAGCACTTCTGTACAATCCCTACACTTGCTTGAGCTTGATGAATTCAGCGAGGTCCGAAGGACCTTCGGACGCTGCCCAGGCCTCCCGAGAGCAATCAAACAGGGCAAATTGAGGAGTTGCAGCAGCGATGATGGTTTGGTTAGGCAACCTGTATTAAAATGATGCTGAAGTGAAGATCCCAAGGTTCAGGGGTTTAGAACAAGCCACGTCCCAGAAGTTTTCAGATTTTGCCCTAAGCTGCACCCTGCACCCTCTGCAGCTCCGACCTTTATCGGCTGCACCTCCTTGTGGATTTGGATTTCAATCTGTTCGGTTGTTGCTTAGACGGCGAAATCCACGGATGATTAAGTGTGAAGTTTGGAAGGATACCTCAGTTGGATTGGATGTCAGGCCTCGGGCTTTGTTTAGTGCTTGTAGCTTAGCCTCCTCCCTGAACAATAAGATGCCCCACCCCTTTGATAATCATAACCATATTCCTAACATCGTACCAATACATGATAGGCAGAGCATGTATGATTCAGGGAGGCGGTATTATCAGTGGGATTTGATTACTGATTTCATTTACGTCTGTAAGTCTAGGCCCAAATTAACTCCCATGTCAAGGCCTATTAGTTCCATCACTGAGTCACTTACTGAGTGGAGAGATCCTCTACGTAGCTAGGAGCGATCGAAAACGGTTGTTTTGGTTGTGTACCGCTGCAAACAGTTTTGATCAGTTGCAGGCTGCGCAAGCCGACACGGAGCAAAGACGCCCTCATCCACAGACCTCTAAGTTAAACAAGAGCCCTTCGCTACGGGTTTGGAAAAAGTCGGGACCCTTAATTCTTGGGTGAACGTATGAGAAATCCGGTGCTGAGCTGAGCCATACTAGAAGCGTGCCAGCTTGTGTCAGGAGGGTGACAGCAGCGGCCCCAGTCTACGTCGGCTTCATCCGTGACTGCCAGGAGTTTGGGGATTCCTGTCTTTTGAGACATCTAGTTTGGGACAACATTTTGAAGAGAAGGGGGCGTTTTCAAGTCTGTAGAAGGTGCCAGTATGTCAGAACAGGCGATACGGGATGTTTGGGGGTAAAGGGGGTCCTTGATCAGCGGAATGCTAGAAATATTTGAAAGAAATTCTGAAGGGTCTCCTTGATCCTGACAGCCATGCATGAACCTACTTTTGGCTTGCTCAGGAACCATTTGTTTCAGAAAGCAACCCCGTGCCACAGATCGAACAAGAACTGCATCCCAGCGCGCACCCCTACATTAAGCTAACGAAATGCTTTACCAGGATCAATGCTGGAGCCATGCCAGCTCAGTAGGCGTCTCATTACTAACAATCAAAGCAAGAAGAAGTCTAGGTTGCCATCATCCAGCCATCGCGTCCATCATCCAGTCATCACTGTAGGGGCAGTAGCAGCAGTTTCAGCTTCAGTGTCAGTACCAGTGGGAGCATTAGTAGCAGATCGCCGACACTGATACTGGTGTTGGTGATGTATGGAGGCGTGCGTCAGTATCATAACAGCCACGAGATTCAAACTCCGAAGCCAGAAAGACCGCTGAGGCATTGCAAATGGAGACACCAAGGCTGCCTGAACCTCAATTCAGACAACAGGTTCCAGCAGTCTTGCAGGAAGTGGCTGCCACGTTATGCCACATTGCTCGGTGCTCCGCCTCTACCTACGTGAGCGCTTTCTGAATATGCATCCCTCACTGGAGCCATTTGCACAGGGATCCGCCCACAAGTTCTTTCAAGCATTATCCCCACAACCTGCACCCTTTCCTAGACCCTAAGCCCTAAATCCTGAAATCAAAGAGGTCATGCTGAACCAGACTTGCCTGAATTCCTCACCCGCGGCTCCAAACCCTTCAGTCCCAAACATGACTTCAAATCAACTTGAGCGCTGAAAAGAAGGCTGCGCAGGCGTATGCAAAGGTATATGGAGTTCAGGGCTTGGGGTTTGGGGTTTACGCTTTCAACAATCGGGGTTCCTGTTATGAGGTGCTCGGACATGCGAGGGGCACCCCCCCCGAACCGGAAGCTCCGGTAATTCCTCTCCTCTGTCCCTTGAAGCAAGGAGGCCGTGGTGGATTCTGATCACTGGGTCTTGCTATCTATGTCCGGGCCTCGGAAATCCTCGGCTGTTGCATATGGAGGCCTTTGAGTTATCCACAGAAAAAAGAGGTTCGCCACTTTAGCTTGTGGTAGCAGCGACCCCTAGAATAATCTTTTAATCCCCGCAGATCCTGGAAGTCCCCGGGGGTTATCTACGGGAAAAAAGCTAAGTTACGCAAGCAGATTCTATCCTGGTTCTGCTACTTCCCATTATAGATCATAACACCAGCGCCTCGTGATATACCTACCTAGCGCCTACACCGTAAGTCTCTATTTCATCCTTGCTTCCATTCCATTTTCCGTTTTCTTTCCCATTCAGTTCTCCATTAGTGGCAATTGAGGCGTCTGCACCCTACATGTCCACATCTAATCCTATGTCCTCCCCGTAAAGCGACCCTAAACCCCATGATGTCCTTATAGTGGCGAAGTGGATAGCTCTACATATTCCACTAAGGATCCCGTAGTAATGTAGAAACCAATATTGTTCCTTTCTAATCTTCATATAGCCACAGTGCAATGTACCCCCAACCCCTATCCTAAATACAGGCTCCTACATTGCAATCCCTATTAATCTTGAATAGCATATGCATATATATAAATACATACACGCATAGTTTCAATCTGGAATTTCATTTGAATTTCAACTTGGGTCTCCATTATTCCAAAATTTTGGCCAGTACTTTAGGCCCATCACAGTCACGGTGCGTAGATTGACGTCCCAAGGCCGAAGCCGACCGCCAAAGGCATGACCGTCCTGCTTGAAGTGATGGTAAGAAGAGGTTTTATTCGAATTTCTGTGCTTGGGGGTCCCAACATGGACCTCATGCTATGCAGGCTCCCAAAAGGGGGTCCCTCATATGGGATTGCAGGGATTTTGCAGGTTGGGATTGGACATCTCTTAAAATTTTCTCGCGCCTTTGAAAAGAGGACCCACGCCTTGGGGCGGTCAATATACAATAAGATCATACTGTCCTGTGAGTATTCTGCTGACAGAAGAGCAAAACCCACCTGATTGAACCTCCACTTAAGGAGACACCACGGAACAAGAACAAATCTCAGGGAATCCTGAACATTTCAAGAAGGGTGGGCGCCGCCTGGAAATCCAAACTCCCAATCCACAAGCGCTTAGCTTACCCCAGACCTGAAGCCCAGCACGTTGAACTCTGCGCCCCATACCTTCTCCTTTCAGACCCCATCAGCTTGCCATGCTTTTTGCCAGGTCGGCCCAAGCCTCCAGGAGCCAAAGGCGCTAGTCATGCAGGATATATGTATATATATATATATATAGACGGTGTAAGGCTTAAGGCTTAGGGCTTAGGGGTTCAAGGTCACGGGTGAGGGTTTAAGACAAAGGGTTTAGAGTTATGGGGTTTTAGTTTCTAGGCCCTAGGATTTAGGGCTTCGAGCGCAGCAGTGCATTATGGAAGGCAGTCTTTCTAAATGTCCACTTTCTGTGGACAGAATTTGCGGATTCTTGGGCAGATTTTGCTGCCAGTTTTGCACGACAGGTTTTTGAATAAGCGCATGGCCTCAATAATAACCAACATCATGGTCCTAGATTTCGTGTATGCTCACGGTACAGAGTACCTCGAATAGACCTCAGTGTAATGTTGGTAATCAGTTAGGTGGACCCTGCACCCTGTAATAGTGGCATTATAGGAATATAAGAGGACCCTTATAATCACCATTACCCCATGAGTGACTTATAGTCACTATTACTAGGTGGGGGGTCCGGGGGGCATGATTCAGGTGCCTCTTCGGCTTGAGTGGGGCTGGAGGTGAGGTTTTCAAAAAAGGGGGCCTCGCGTAGATCCCAATAGGGTATACTCCTTATTATACTTGCTCCCCAAATTCAGCCCGCATTCTGGCAAACTAGCAAACAGCTTTAGAACACAGAGGATTGTTCTTCTTTCCAGTGGGTCAGTAGGCCAGATCCCCCAGTGACTACCTTCGCGAATCGGCTTGCAAAAGGAAGGGGAACTCCCTTGGGGAGCACAATGTAGAGGATGTAGTATATTCACGTCTGCGTCCTTTTACAAGGCCGCCGAGGCTGGAACCTTGCTTGCACCCTGAGCTAACAGGGTCCCCATTTCCACCATATCTGTCAAAACGCCCCTGCACCGAAACCGTAGCTACCTCCCGAAGAATGTGCAAATACATGCAAAGAATGTGGAGCTGAAGAGACCTGAAGAGGCAAGGGGCCTCCGCCTCCACCCCGCGGTGGCCCGAAGGCACTGATCATTTTCTTCAAGAATTCTGTAGGCTACGTTCAACACATCCTTACGGCCAAACATATGGATTCTAAAGGGATGGGCCGAGAGATATGGAAAAGAGGCCTGTACAATTTGGGGTCCGAAAACAGCTTGTTCTTACATAGAGGGTTCCCTTTTTCTGATTAAGAGAGGGTAGGCTGTTGCCAGTTGCGTTTAGTAGTACGGGGCCTCCCGCACCAGCCTGGACCAAAGCGCTGCTAACTGCCACTGACAGCTTGAAGAGATGGAATTTTGCAACATTGCTTCGGGTTTGTTCAAGCGGGGATGATTTAAAGACTATATACAGGTTAAAGTTGGTACTGAGACCTTGCCAAGGATCCTGGAAATCATTCTCTTAGTTCTTTCATGGGACTCCGGGCTCCGACAGTCTGTACCCTCACTGCGGCGAATGTTATGTGGTCCAATCAGTAGAAACACCCCACATCTGCAAGCTCTGATGAGCAGCCGATTTTATTGAGATATTGTTTTACGACACATGGCCATTAATCCTCCTCGTCATCCTGCATGATGCATGAATGGAGGGATGGTAACGATGGTCATGCGGACGGGCACGATGATTATTTTGAGCCCTGAATGCTGGACCATAAGCCCCGGAATTTGCGTATCCTCTTCTGAAGGCGAAGAGCAAGCCGCCGCCACCACCCGCGCCTGGCAGCAAGGACGATCCTAGCAGGCCCCAGGATTAGTGGATTCTTCTCGACTTCCTCTGGGGTTGTCAACGATAGGATGCATGGCGCAGCACTGAAAGCTGAAAGCGCCAAGGATCTGCACAAACCCTGTTGCAATGTCATCTCCTTACAAGATCGCTAAGCTACTCATAAAGGTCCTTAAGAAATTGCGTCCGATCTAGGAAAAGTTTCCACGAGGAACTTCTTAAGCACACTTATTGTAGCACAAGCCTCGTGTAAGCTGTCTGCAGATTTTCATGATTCTGTACTCATCGTTTTGGTTGTTGCATTGCAGGCAGCCACCACATCGAAGACAGTCCATCGGCAAGGCATGGGCATGAGCGTTTCATTGAGACCTCATGTAGACTTCTAAGCATGTACTTACTGTGTGTCATATAGCAGGGACGGGAGCGCGAGATCCCGATGTTCCCGTGGTGTGCAACGAAGCATGCCTTCCTTTTTGCAGCCCCCTCGAACTAGCTACTAGCCGAGTGTTCAGTGGGCGGGGTGTGCTGCATTTGAATTATGCTTTCCCGACCCAGTCAGATGGTTCCCCGGAACTCTCCAGCAGATGTGCTCAGCTTTCTGATCTGTTCTTGTTGTCACATCTAGATCATATCTGGATCAATGTGCTCCATCGAACTGAGACAATTTTTCAGTCGGACAGATTATGATAAGAGTCCCGAGCCCCTCAACTTCCTCAAGAACTTGCCCCGGGCTTCCGGAGACTTCTAAACACTGAGCGTGACTGGCATGCCAGTTGATAAAGCACTCAGAACCTGTACAGCAACTGCAGGTTTCCAAAAGCTACATAGAAATCCACTTTTTGCGGCCACTGTAGTAGAGATCATCGTACGTTAAGGTACCTAATAATGGGGCCGACAACTTTTGGAAAGTCCACAATGTCAAGGCTCCGCCGCCGCCGCCCTTTGGCAAGCGGCTGCATTGGAAATTGCTACTTTGTCCATGTTGGTTCAAACGGTCCTGGGTTAGTAGTATGGTAAGTAGGGTACTGGAGCATCATGTGGAAAGAGTATAGAAAGTAGTCATTGGTATTGCATGCAATCGATGACGACAGGGCAAGTACAGAGTGACTTCTGCACCATAAGATGCGGTCGCGCCTTAAAACTAGCGGGCTGTAACAAGCGGCCAAGCAAGCGGTTCGACAAATGGTGCAGTGTATACGGCGTGGCCAGGTTTCGGGTTTTGGCAGTAGTTCTCCAGGGCAGAGCTATTGGGTTCCTGTGTAAAGAAAGGGTGCTGTCCCGGGTGCAGCCATCTGGGCTCTTTTGTTGGTAGCATATAATATCATACGCATATTGTCTATATGAGCTGGGGAAGCAATGCTTGCCAACTGCCAGCTAAAATGGGGCCTTTGTCTCAGGTCATTGAAGATTCCAATGCTCTTGAGCAACATGACATGAGGATGGTTGCTCCTTTTGGAAGGCGCGGCGAAATGCTTGTCTTGCATACTCAGCTTGCATTACGCAGCAAGGCTTCCACCGGCAACGTTGGACAACACGATCTTCGAGGACTGCTCGTGTTTTTATAAGCGAGAGGTCTGAATGCATGATCGACGAAGATTGACGGGAGATTTCAACTCCTTCTCAGCTTCAAGTGCAAGAAGCGCAACCACTTCTCAATAATTCATACCTCTGTATCGCTATTGCTCGGGCTCTTCCATGATTTCCCGACTGATTTGGAGATCTGGGTGTGCATGTAGCAGATATTGCTGGCTAGAAGGTATTGTGGGGGTAGGACCTTTTTGCCACTGGGGTACTCGAGCCGATCTAGTTACGGGGATATGAGATGATATTTTGGGCAATGCAAGATTTCGCCGAGAACTCCCCTGAGTAGCCTCCCAAACCTACACAAGCTGGTACTCCTTCAGCGCCATCTCATGCTTGTTGCGATCCTGCGTAGTTGCCTGTAACTCATTCTGAGCTACCTCGGCCTACCTGGCGGTGCCTTCAGCCTGGATAAAGTATGAGATCCTCATGTATTGTCACTTTGCTGCGAGTACTTATCATACTGGATATCGCAGGTGCTTCAGTGAATTGCGGGGATGGGGCCATGACCCCACAGATATGGATCCCTGGCTGTCAAGTGAAGAGGGTTTCCCTCCTGCACAGGAGCTGCAGCCCTGGGATAAGGTGGCAGCGGTCTCAGCTTGCATGCCCAAGCAATACCAGAATTGAGGATGAGCGTGATCCTGAAGCAACACTGTCGTGCGAGCTGTGCCCATAAGCAGGAATCATCAGACGTGTCAATCATAAAGCACCAGCGAGCAGAACGGAGAAGTAAGTAATTGGCGCTTGATAGGGCATCAGATGCGGCCTTCTTCTGCCGAGTGAGGCGCCGCCCTTGGATACGAAGCAGCTGGAACGGCTCTTCACACCCGCAGAGAGGAGCCTAGGCCTGGGATGCGGGATAATGTAGAGCTCAAACTGAGACCTGGATTTGATATTCTTAACCCGGCTCCCTCCACAAACCAGAGCCTCACATCCTCAAATCTGCGTGGGCCTTAAACACCCAACGCACTAAACCCTCAAGCCGAAGCCCCTCCCCCCGCCTCCCCCCAGTCTCACCGCGGCGGAGGCGTCCCGATCAGTTGTACACCGGCTCCGCCAGGTAAAGCTGGCGCAGGCACGGCAACACAAGAGCCTAGATAAATGCCAATGTGATACCCTGATAACCCTTACGTACCTGATCATGCACGTAGTACTGTGCACCCTAGAAGCTTGTTCTACTTGACCAGGCCCCAACATGATTGGCTTCTCACGTAAGGACCACAGCTGTGTTGAACAA